GAACAGCAGAAGGAATTCTGGTTACATGTGGTTTCTTGGTGGTGCTTGGTAGTTTACTGACTTTCTTCCTTTACAAGTAAGTTGTTCAGTATAGTCATTAACATGGATCAGATCATTGGTTTAGTGATTTATAAAAATTTCAAACTCAAATAATACTGATGTAAGCATTTGTAACAGAAGGTAGATTCTATTTTTTCCATAGGAAAAAAGCAAAAATCCAGTAGCTTTCCCTCTCTGCTTATTTTTTAAATTATTCATAGAACCTTCCAAATATTACTGGAATAGAGCATATAATATATTTATGCTTGTTGGGATGGCAATAATATCAAAGCTTGTCTATCTTTTTTCTATAAGGGGTTGAGGCAACTGCACTTGACTGTGCTATTGAGGAGTGGAAGATAATAATCCAAAAATCATAGAGATCTCTAAATCAATAGCAGAGAATGTTTGTAGCTCAGAATTGAACTGTGGGGCCCTTAGTGCTTTCTGAGTTTGGTTGTTTTCTTGCAGACATTTCATTACCCAACTAGGTAATATCAACACTACTAAAAGGAAATAGTTTGCTCTCTTGTTCTTTACAAGTAGTAAACAATAATCTAATGAAGAAACTACTAACAATTTTCCCACCAATACTAATAGAGTAAACCACTTGTATAGAGAGAGCAAATAGAGATCCCATGTAGCCATGATTATTTGTTTGTCGAGTATAAACATGATTATTAATACATGAAATGGATATGAATAAAAGGGAATATTAGGACAGGGATGGTAGACACATTGGTGTTGCTTATGCACTCCCCTTCCAGACTTCTTAGAAACAGGGTGAGGTAGACAGTAGACAGTCTAAGGTTAAAGTTTTGGGGGTTTGGGAAAGAATCAGAGTCAGGTAGTGTATTCCAGGCATTGACCACTCTGTTGCTGAAGTCGTATTTCCTGCAATTAAGTTTGGTGCGGTTTACCTTGAGTTTGTATCTATTGTTGTGGTTGAAGCTGAAGTAATCATTGACAGGTAAGACATTGCAATAGATAATTTTATGTACTACACTTAGGTCAGACCAAAGGCGGCATAGTTCTAAGTTATCCAAGCCTAAAATTTCAAGTCTGGTGGCATAAGGTATTCTGTTGCAAGTAGAAGAGTAGAGGACTTCTTCTCATGAAATATCTCTGGACTCCCTTGATTGTATTGATGTCAGATATGTAATGTGGACTCCAGACAGAAGAACAGTATTTGAGAATTGGTCTAGCAAGTGTTTTGTATGCTCTAATTAGCAATACAATATTACCAGAGAAAAAGCTACGCAGAATTAGGTTAACAACTCTTAATGCTTTTTTGGCTATGTTGTTACAGTGAGCTCTAGCACTTTGATCATTAGAGATAAGTAGTCCAAGGTCCTCAATAGAGTGGGGATTATCTACAAGGTCGTGTCCATTCAGCTTGTATTTTATTTTCTGATTTTTTTTGCCAATATGTAAGACAGAAGCATTTGTTTGTTGAGATTTGAAGTTGTCACTTATTTGACCATTCTTACACATAGTCAAAGTCTTTTTGAAGGCTTGTCAGTGGTGTTGAAAAATTTTACATCATCAGCAAAAAGGATGCAATTGATGATGTTACTTGGGACATAAAATGTTTGCAAGAAAACAACCAAGCTCAAAGAATACTAATGACCCCACAGATCCCTCAGTGTCAGGAGTGAAAGACAATTTGAACCATAGTTGTTTCCTATAAGTCTGTAACTGCAATATCCCATTGTCCCTGTTTTTAAAAGGGTTCACAACAAGAATATATCTCGCAATGGCATAATATTGTTTTCTTCATGGAAGAACTCTGAAAACATTTACTTATTACTGTAGTATACTCCATTAGTGATACAGTATATTTCTATAAGCATAAAATAGGTTGTTATCTTTTTGGTGTCTCTCCTGTCACCCTAATATATATTCTCAGCAACTGTTATCTAAAGCTCTACTAAAAGTTTTCTCTTCTTTTTTTCACAAATATAAATGTGCAATAACAATTTACAGAGAAGAATAACGCAACCCAGAAATTATTGGGTTTTATTCATACAACAGGAAAACCTTTTAATAACTTGATCTCGCATTCTTTTCAGGAGATATAAAGAATATAAACCTATTGAAAGAAAATCAGGTCAAGAGAAATCCAGAGAAGGACTAAGTGTTTACTTCAATAATGTCAAGGCTGTTCTTTTCCCAAGAGGCAATGAGAGAGATCCTCTGCTGAAAAGCAAGCTGGGGATTGTCTAATTCTTTAGACTAAATTTTAAAATCACATGTTAAAATTTCAAGCTTTACACTGAACTACAATTCTGTAGGAATGCTCTTAAAAAGGGAGGAAAGATGGCATACTTGCATTACATACAAAATAAAAGCTATCATTCAATTCACTTGAAATTATAAAATATCAGAACATCAAGAAAATGTAATATTTTAGTTGCTTATCTTGAATATACTACAATCTATCAGTTAATGAACAATGTATAAGGTAACTTTTATTGTCATTTTTTATTGTGATCACACTAGCCCACATTAAAAATGAACTTCTGTTTCCTGCTCTTCAAGAGAAAATGTATATCTAACCAAAGAGATACAACACATGCATTATAATGGGTACATTATATTGGGGATTATATATCAACATATTACATTATTGCAGAGATTTGTCTAGACAGTCACTAGGCATCAATATTGCCTGAAAAGCATAAATAAATGAATAAATAAAATTATTTACTCCTGAGGTTCAATAAATGTCTGCTTGGTTGAATGTTTTTCTTTTACTAAGCAATTTAAACTTGCAATGAATTCTACTGAATTTAAAAGAAATTATTTCTGTGCCAGCACGCTAGGATCATGGTTCAATCCAAAGTTCCTTCATCTTGTATACTCAGTCAGCTTCAAGTTAACGAGTTTTAAAATTAGTTTGAAAACTACAGGTAAGGCTCGACATATAACAGGTCATTTAGTGATCATTCAAAATTATACTGAAAAAAGTGACATGATTATTTTTCATGCTTCCATTGTAGCATCCTTATGGTCAATTGATCAAAATTCAATCCTTGTCAATTCTCATATTTATGATGGTTGAAATGTCTAAAATCACGTGATCATGTGGTCATTTTGCAACTATCTGACAAGCAAAATCAATGGCAAAATCAGATTCACCTTCCAACCATGTTACTAATTTAACAACTGCAATGATTCACTTAATAACTGGCAAAAATAGCTGTAAAATGAGGCAAAACTCACTTAACAACTGTCTAACTTAGCAACAGAAATTTACGGTTTAATTGTGATCATGTATTAGGACAGCAGTTATTAGTTGGATGCTCTGGATATTCCTTATTGTTTAACTAATATACAATTTAATCACAACTTGGAGACAAATATAAAGATGTATAATTTTTTGTTCTATTTTCTTGGTTTTTAACATTCACTCTAGTGCATTAGAAGAGAATTTCTTATACACTAAGAGGAGGATAAAGTGGCTATGTCTACCAGTAGCTTTGTCTCTACTTCCTAAATATATATCTTTTTAGAACTGTTATGAAAGATTAGGTGGACTCTCACAATTGTGGGAGAAAAGAGGGAACTTGTGAATTTATTTTTATCTGATTTTGATTTACACATTTTCTCTCCCTTCTCACTTGGCCCTTCAGATTTAAGTTGAAATCTGTTTTCTGCACTAAAAGAGGACATCTTCAGTTTTCAAAACTTATTATGGATTTGAAAATGCAGCTCAAATAACACAAAAACAGGTTCAGTAACGCTTCATAGGAAGACCTGGAAAAAAAATGTACTTATTCTCAAGCAATGATGAATTAAAAACATAATTGATTACAAAGCCTGCTTGCTGCTAAATATTTTCTGATACAGATTAAGCCCTTTCTCAAAAGCTCATGCTAAAGCATTTATTAATATTGAAATTGCTTAAATTCTTCCATATTATCTATCAATCCGTCTGTGGATATGCAAGACACACAAACCCCCAACACTTTCTCCAGCAGAATACAGTATTATCTTAGTATGATATTGTCCTGCAGTATTTTATGATCTGGCTTGAACATTAGGTTAAGACATTTACAAAACCTAGTGATTTGGTTCACAGATCTCATTAAACAAGTGCTCAAAGGAAAGTATTTTACTCAGGTAAATCTTAGCACAAAAGAACACTTGCTATCCAAATTTACAGTAGAAGTATTAGAAAGCATGATACAGGTAGTCCTCAACTTACAACAGCTTGTTTAGTGACTATTCAAAATCACAATGGCACTGAAACAAGTGACTTATGACCGTTTTAACACTTATGAAAGTTGCATTCAGCATCACCATGCTCATGTGATGAAAATTCAGACTCTAGAAAACTGAATCATATGTACGAAGGTTGCATTGTCTTGAGGCCATGTGATTCCCTTTTGCAACCTTCTGACAAGCAAAATCAATGGGGAAGCAGATTCATTTAGCAATTGAGTTACTAATTTAACAATTGAAGAGATTCACTTGACAATTGTGGCAAAAAATGTTGTAAAATGGGGCAAAACCCACTTACTAGAAATGTTGGGCTCAATTGTGGTCGTTAAATCGAGAACTACCTGTAAACTGTTTGTTTGGCGTGAAAAATGGCACTCATACTGCACGGACAGCCCCAGACTTTAACACCCCAAACTTTGGGGTCAAAAGAGTTAGCCCGCACTCACTATTGGTCTGGAGTCCGAGGAACAAATTCACCACTTCGTAAAGATAAAACGAAGGTTGTAAATGTATCGGGTACAAATACAACCAATAGATGGCGATAAATAGATTGTCCTGGTGCTTATTGAAACCAGATTAGCCCTGCATTTAACAAAATACTACTAAACCCTATCCGACCTAGCGTTGGTTACCAAACAGCGCCTGCGCCAGCAGTCGTGCCTGTCACGTGAGAATCGCAGCCAATCCCTAAAAGCTATTGAATATACACCCTCCAATCAGTGAGGAGAAAGAATTTCCTAGTTAGATCCCCCTTTGGGGACGTTGGAAGTTCGAACGTTCTGTTGCCCCATCGGGATTTTTCCCGGGGAATCGCGGGGCGCTATGTGGCGGGGCAGCCTCTGCCTGCGGCTGTTGCAGACACTGAAGTCTCGGGGAAGCGCTGCTGCCCCTGGAAGCCCCAAAGGTGCCCAAGGATGGCTTGATGCCGTGACTCGAGAGGCCGCGACAACTTCCTTCTTTCCCTCGTGGATCTCCCTGGTAGGATTGCGAACGTTTAGCACTGTAGAGAAATCTGAGCTCTCGGGTGGAGAAGAAGGAGCCGGAGCGGAGCTTCAGAACGTGCAAGAAGTGGATAGAGGTGAGCAGGAATCGAGCATCAGTTCAGGTATCGATGGAGCTCGGAGTCCCTCAGTGAAGAAATGTCGACCTTGCGCCCCGTTTAGTGGTAGGGCTTTGGTAGCCTCCGGTATACCGCTGGCTGGCGATCAGGCAAGCGATGTATTTTATTTTCTCCTCACGGCTCTGGGAGATGTAAATCAGCGGAAATAGGGCGACTTTGCACGGTGGTGATGGTGTTGCAGACTAAATTCCTGGCTTCCACCTAAACCTACCGATCCTTATAAGCCCGGATGATCAGCCCCAAAAATACTTTATGTGAACCTAGAGGTGTGGGGGGAACTGGCTTGCAGAGGGCAGTGGGTAAATAGCAACACAGATAACGATGCTGCCAATAATTAAGTAGAAACTGGAGTGGTAGAAATGTAGGATTGTACCTTACAAAGATTCAACTCCTGCCAATCCTGAATGACAACGAATTATGATTTTATATGCATCCCCTTCTTAAGACTTTGCAGTTTTTAGAAAATTGGATGTTCATCCTAAGTGTAATAAAGGCTATTGTGGAGAGAAAGGGGTTGAGAATTGTTTCTTCTACCTGTTCATTAGTTCAAGATCTTTCACCTCTTACCTTTCTGCATAATTTACATTTTAATCATTTAGGCATTATCTTTTTCAGACCCTGTTCCTTCAGTATTCAGCATTGATGATATGGTATCACTTATGAGACAAGAAAATGCCAAAGATATTTGTGTTATCAATTTGCCTCCAGAAATAAAATACAGCAATTATTTTATAATTGCCAGTGGATCTTCTGCAAGACACCTTCATGCCATGGCACAATACTTGGTTAAAACCGTACGGCATTTTTTTTTCTTTTAGAGATATGGAAAAAAAATTACGAGCTACAATTGGATGGCCAGTTAAGAGATGAGAATAGTAGATGCTGCAATATGAGTGCTGGCTAATCAAAGCAGATAGTATTTCTAAGCTGCAACTAAAGAAGGATTAGTTTTGATTGCTTGGGAAATGAAGTCTGTTAGTGAATGTTTATAAATATTAAGCATAATAGAGAAATGTTTTTTCAGCAGATATAAGTTTCATTTTTATAGAAACTCTTCTGATTTTTTTACTGTTCCTAAAACAGCAAGGTCATTTTTGTGGAATAAGCCAACATGATTTAAGACAGGTGTGTCCAAGCCACAAGCTGCATGCAACATTGGACAGGAGTGTCATTTATTATCCATACATGAATTTGTTAATTCATAAGGGCAAATTTTGTGGCTGGTTTCAACTATTGTAAATGTGCAGTGAAGCTCTAATGACCAGTCATGCAATTACTTTATCATAGGACCTTCAGTTGGGATACTTAAGTCATTAAGAGTCAGATGAAGGTCTTGGAGGGGGAAAAAATGTGACCTTGGCTTAGTTTCTATCCTATTTGTAATCATCTACTATTCCAGTCTCTGCTCAATTGTAATCAACCATGGCCACCTGTAAAGACAATTTTTAAGTATTTAAGATAAGAATAATAATAGACCTGCTACTCTTTACATTCTTCCAGCCGCCTGCAGTAAGTACTCTCAACTTTATTAACTGGCTGCCTGTATTACAGTAGTCCTAAAATTAGCTTTATGTGATAAAACACTTGGAGTTCCAGCTTTATTTTATATTCTTTGTTATCAGCATACAGCGCTTCTGCAGTAAACATAGCTTATCAGGTCAAACCACAGCTGATATGGATGCTGTCTGCTTCAGTTAAGAAAACCTTCCATCCTATATTTATAAAATAAAATTATCACATAGAACTCAAGTAAATTGCAGCCTGCTGTGTCACAATCTCACCAGAAGCCCCAACAGTTTAAATAAATTCTGTTTATTTTTTATATGTGCGCAGATATTCACAGGAAAGTAACCTGTATCTTTACTTGTACTTGTCTTCCAGTACAAGCATATGAAGAATGATACTGATCCTCATGTTCTGATAGAAGGAAAAGAGACTGATGACTGGCTATGCATTGATTTTGGTAAATATTTTATTATTGATAAAATAGAGAATACAAGTGATTTTATTCATTCATTCATTCATTCATTTCTATAGCTGCCCAACTCTGGGTGGATATAATTATAGAATAATTAAAATATAATTACTTAAAATTAATTGTTCAACAATGTTTTTATTGTTGAATTGTTTTAAAACAAAACAATAAAAACATTAACAAAATAAAAAATACAAACAGCAGCTATGATGATTAATCAGCTAATAGTAAAGCCAAGAACAGGTCCTTAACACATTCTGAGTCTCAGGCCCAGGTACATGACCAATTTTTCAAAGCTTTGCAAAAAGTCAACAGGGTTGGTACCATTCTAATTTGAGTGCAAAATATTCCAGAAGGCAGAAGCTATAGCAGAAAAAGCCTTTCTTTTGGTTCTCATTACTTAATGCTGTGGCTGATGGGATCTGCAACATGTCCAATCTGTTGGATCAGATTGAATGGGTAGAAATTCTTGGAAAAAGACAGATCCTCCGATAACCCAGACCCAAACCATGTAGGGATTTAAAGGTGACAACCAGCATCTTGTATTGCATCTGGAAATACACCTGCAGTGCAGCTTGTAGAAAAGTGTTAAATGTGCTGTATATCCAACACCGTTTATTACCTGTGCAGCTGCATTTTGCACCAGTTGAAGTTTCTAAATGTTCTTCAAGGGCAGCCCTATGTAGAGCATATTACAGTAATCTAAAGAGGAGCTAACAAGGGCACGAATGAGCAGAGCCTCCTGGTCCAGGATTGGGTGCCAATGGCGCCCTACCTGAATGTGTGAAAAGCCTTTCCTAGTCACAGCTGCTATCTGCTCTTCAAGGAGCTGTGAGTCTAGGAGGACCCTGAGATTGCTTATGAGATTTGTCTGGGGTAGTGTCATCCCATTCCAAGATGGAAGAATTTGTCTGCGGAAGGTCCAAATACCCACAATCACTCCATTTTGCTAGGACTGGGTCAGAGCCTGTTTCCCTCATTTAGACTCAAACATCCTCTAGACACAGCATAGCATCATTCAAGGGGCATGGAATAGAGATAGAAGCCTGAGTGCCAACCACATATTGAATGATACTTCATCCAAACCACCTTACCCAGTAGCCTCATGTAAATGTTAAATAACACAGGAGAGATAACTGAATCCTTAAGCTCCCCACAAAATAGGGACCATAGCCTTGGATCTCTTGCTTATCAACACTGATTGAAGCTGACCTTGGGAGAAGGAGGAGAACCAGCACAATGCAGTGTCACACACTCCCAACTCCTGGAGCCAGCCTGGTGATGATATTCTGATACATATATACCTGAACCCCAACTGAAAGGGTGCTAGATAATCTGCTTTAGCCAAGGTTCTCTGCAGCAGCCACATGACTATTTTCTCCATATTCTACCTTAAGAAGGGAAGATTGGATACTGGGTGAAATTGTTGAGTTGAGCAATAGTCCTCTGAGGAGGAGGTGCACTACCACCTTTAAGAGCTGGTGGGACCACTCCCTCTTTCAAAGAGGAATTAACTATCCCCTTCCCAAATCCAATCCAGCACCTGCTCTTTAAAAAATGGGAAGCATATGGATCTAATACAAAAGTGGCTATACTAGCAGCCGAGAAAACTTTATCCATTTCCTCAGGTTCCACGGGCTCAAACTTCTCAGGGCAACTTGTAGAAATAGCCCCCATCACTTCCACAGATTCTGCTTTAATTAAGAAGAATGAATTTGCATGACTTTATCTGCCACAGCCCACATGCATAATATTCCTTAAACGCTTTAGGTGAACTTTGGTATTGAATATCTGATATCTGAATCATTGAAACAGGGCCACTGGACAATTATTGGCAGACGCAGTAAGGGCAGAAAAATAGTTATGTTTCTTCACTCTTACCGCCATGAATAGGCCTTTAGGAGCTCTAGCTTGTGCCCGGTCACCTTCTCTTTTTCTTTTTTGCCAAATGTATTCTAGTTGTTAGCATATTTAAGCTTACTCAGTTCCATTATGTACATTGGGGAGCATTGGGAATCCCCGGCACAGTGTAGAGTTTACTTAGGCATGATCTGTTCTAAAGCTGCTACTTCTTTGCTTTTCTGTACAACCACTAAGGTTCTCAATCAGACCAAAAATCAGGTTATATATGATTGATTTTACAAACTAAGGGAATGCTTCATCTCCCAGAGATTTTGTATTCCCATTCTTATTTTGCATTATTCACCTCACTGTCAGAGTTTCAGACTTGAGGTGCTTTGGAAACCATAACACAAGGTTCCAAAGGGCTATGGATTGCCATAATGACAAATGACATTTGAGTTTGCATACTAGCATAGTATTATCTTTGAACTCAGAGGTTGATTGACCCAAGAGATATATGTGAAGTAATTTCTTACAATATTGTTTTTGCAATACAATCATAGTAATTTATTAATCTAAATGTATTGCAGATGTGGATTCAGGGGTGAATTCACTTAATAAACATGGCAAAAAAAGTCATGAGGCAAAACTCACTTAGCAACTGTGGTTGTATGTCAAGGACTACTCATAATACACTTGTAAATGTGAGTCCAGGACATATTGCTGTAAAGTGGCCTAAAAAAAGGGGTTTCAAATTGTAGTCGCATGATAATGAGACACTACAGTCAGTCGTAAATGTTATAGACAGTTACCAAACCCCAAATATGGCCACATCACTGTGGAAGGGAGGGGTGCCACATTTTACAATGGCCAAAATTGTTGTAACTTCCAGTAGTGGTTGAATGGCAAGTTATAAGATGAGGACTACCTTTAGTGTGTGACAGAGGGTTGGCTGTGGGCAGAAGGGATATGAGGCAGAGTTCAAGGTGGAAGAATTCAAGAAAACAGAGATGAGGGGAACTAGGTGAGCGGAGCATGGCAGGGCAGAAGCACCATGAGGTCCTCCTCCAATTATAGTGCTGTCCTGGCCTAACAACTGCAGATTTGTACCATGAGAACTTTCATTGCTAAGCGATACAATTATGTGATGCTTTACCTAACAAGCGCATCGCTTAGTGACAGGAAGTCCCAGTCCCAATCGTGGTTGTAAATGACTTGTTCTAATATAGTCTGACTTTTTAAGATCCTGAAACTTAATTTAATATGACCAACATGTATAGAAACTCTGGTGCTTGCCATTTCTTCTTAGGTGGAATGCCACACTATGAAAGGTGGGTCAGATGTTCTAATCTCATTCTTTACTTGTTGTACTGTTCCATCATCTTGCAGGCAATATTGTAGTCCATTTCATGTTGCCAGAGACACGAGAAATCTACGAGTTGGAAAAGTTGTGGACACTCCGCTCTCATGATGATCAGTTGACACAGATGGTTCCAGAATCTTTACCTGATGACTTTGTGTTTGAGCTAGATTCTAAACTGCAGTGATGTAACCTCACATCTAAGGATCAGAAGGAACTCTGCACAAAAAATTCTTTGGTCAGCTGAGTTACTGAGCCAATTCTTGGGAAGAACAAGACAAAATGGAGCACATCAACCTGCAACTACCAATTGTCATCATTAGGTACTATTGATAAGTACAAGTAGTGCTTTACTTACAACCATTCATTTTGTGACCATTCAAAATTACAATGCACTTTAAAAAGTGATTTAGAATTGTTTTTCACAACTGTGCAGCATCCCCAAGGTCCCATGAACAAAATTTGAATGTGTGGCAATTGGTTCATGTTTACGGGTTGCACTATCCAAGGATCACGTGATCATCTTTTGCAACTTTCTGACAAGCAAAGTCAAGGGGGAAGCCAGATTCACTTAACAATGATGTTACTGACTGACTACAGGGATTCATTTAACAACCATGGCAAGAAAGGTCATAAAATGGGGGAAAATTTGCTTAACTGTCTTGCTTAAAACAGAAATTGTGGTCATTAAATAGAAGACTACCTGCAGTAGAACTTATCAATGGGAAGTAATGTCCTGTGGGAAAGACAGTGGCTCTTGTTGCAAAGGCAAAAGCTTTTAACATGAATAATAGTTATTAGAAATAATTCCTATTGACATTGGGGTCTTTTGGTTAGTGACTGTTTGATTGCTGTGCTACTTATGTCATCAGTTAAATAAAATTGCTTTGAAATATTTTTAAAATTAATCTCAATTTTATTTTGGTATATTTTTTCTAATGCCTGCTGTTAGTTACCCCCATAAAATCTGGTAGGTTCCAATAATAGAAACTCAATGTAGAGAAAATTTACTTTGAACTGGTATCATTCATGCTGATATTCAAAGTATCTGGAAAATAGTTGTAGATGTAGCAGTTTTGTGCAAGATGTAGTGAAAATAAACCGCTGCTGTAGCACCTAGATTTTCCACAAATTGATGTCAACTTCTAAATTTTCTCTATTTTTTCTAATATAATTAACAACAGGATACCATTTCATCAAGTTGAAAAAGTGCACTTCCCCTTTTCCTTATTCAAGTATCAAATAGGGCTTCAGCAGAATTCTTTGCAAAGCTATCAGAAAATGTTTACGTTCTTAATTGAGGCAAGAAAAAACGAATACACAGGTATAGGTCAATGATGGCAAACCTTTTCCACATTGCGTGCCAAGTGCGTGCGTGCACCCCTAATGCAATGCACGCGTGACTCCCCCTGCGTATGCACGAGGTCCCCTGCATATGCACCGCACACCTCTGCACATGCACGCGTGACCCCATACACGCCTCTGCACATGCGCATGCAACCCCCTCCGCACAGTCCATGCCTCTGTGCATGCATGCACTTCTCCCACACACGCGTCTCCCCCCACGCATGCGCGACAGATACCCGACAACCAGCTGGCTGGTGGAGGGGCACGTGCAATGTGCAGTGGGGTTCTTCCGGGTGACTTCTTGCGTGCTGGCAGAAGTGGCTCTGCGTACCACTTCTAGCACGCATGCCATAGGTTCGCCATCACAGGTATAGGTGGTATCTGGCTCAATAGTAGAAACCAGAAGAAGGATTTTGGAACCCTACAGGATAATCCATTTACATATGAGCCAAGAGTGTGCTGCAGCTGCTAAAAAAGCCAATGCAGTCCGAGGCTGCATTAAGAGAGATAAAATCAGGATCACCTGAAGTCTTAGTGCTACTTTATAATATCTTGGTAAAACCACACTTGAAATACTGTATCCAGTTTTGGTCCCTATACTATAAAAAGGATATGAACTCTGGAAAATAAAGAGAAAAGCAACAAAAATGATTAGGGGACTGGGGGCTAAAACATAAAGACAGTTGCTGGAATTGGGTGTTTAATGTAATGAAAAGGATTAGGGGTGACATAATACAGTGCTGCAATATCGAAGGGGTTGCCCCAAAGACGAGGGAGTCAAGCTATTCTCCAAAGCACTTGAAGGCAGGACAAGAAAAAGTGAATCAAGGGCAGAAGCCACTTAGAACTAAGGTAAAATTTCCTGACAGAACAAATAATCAGTAGAACAACTTGCCTCCAGAAGTTGTGAATGCTCCAATATTGGAACTTCTTAAGAATTTGTACAGCCATTTGTCTGAAATGGTATAATTTTTCCCTGTAGGGGTTGGCTAGATGACCCCCAAAGTATCTTCCAATGGTTATTCTTTGTAATATGAAAAAGCATTTAAAGTGACTGTAAATTTTGAAATATGTGAAACCTAAATCTGATGATAGGAAATTATTTTTAGACTTTGCCTGGAGTGAATGTTTCAGGTCTTTCGCTAGCATGCAACTGCTGAATCACCCCCCGCCCCCCAAAAAAGCTTCATTTAACAATCTTTTTTGGTTGTTGCTATTGTTCATATAATAAACAGCAAAAAAAACCTCTGCATTAATTCAAAGGCTCTGTTCATGCAATGGAATAACTATTTAAAGCAAAGTTGTATTCCACCTCCTTTCATTTTAATTTTTGTATCAGTGCTATGGCAACAGGATTTTAATTAAAAATTTCCATCCAAACCTAACAGGAAGACTATTGTATTATTACTCCTACATTGTGTAATGTAAGTGGGCTTATTATAAATATCTCTTATTCAGCAGCATCACAACTTTGGTTGCTGAATGAGATAGCAAAGGCACTTAGACTTATCTACTGCTTCAGTGGTTTACAGCCCTTTCTAAGTGGTTTACAGAGACAGCATATTGCTCCCAACAATCTGGGTCCTCATTTTAACCACCTCGGAAGGGTGGAATAGGGGTTACTTATAAAAATAATGTCAAACAAATTCAATACTTTGCAATTGTTTTCCTTGCCACTGGTTTACAGAAGCCCCAAATTCAATCACCAAGAGGTCAGAAATATACCATCCATTTATTTTGTTTTTTGTTTGCATAGAAGGCATATACTAGGTGGACTAAAATATTTCAAAATAATATCACAACCATTTTATGACTTCCAAATGTCTTCATATAATTTAAAACCATTTGAAATTGTTCAGTCAAGCTTCTTAAGGAACTTGTTTTTTGTTTTTATTGTTTCTAACCCAGACTTTTAAGCAGAGGCTGGAATAATTCCAATTTAAACGTGTACCAAGTAGCTCATTAGCTACTGGATCAAGCTAATCTTTAAACCAAAGATATCTGGTTTTCTTCCCCCCCCCCTTTTTTTTTTTAAACTCTTCAAGACAAATTTCAGACTTCCTTGCAGAAACTGTTTAGTGTAGTCCTAAAGAATTGTGGAGTTTCCTCGTGTGGATTCCAATGAGATATGCTTAGGCTAAAGCATTTCCAGGAGAGCCAATTATTGCCTGGAAAGCAATCTAACCATATATTATTCCATTCAATGCAGAAAAAAATATTGAACTTACTCATTAGAAATACAATATAACTTCTAAAAAATATTGGAAGAGTTTTTACATTTATCTGCTGCAATGCCCTTCCATCATTTTGGAGGGAAGACTCTTGCGATACCTGAGCAATTCTGTCCTTGTAATGAAGGGAAAACTGAAACTTTGGGACTTGTGGTTATGCTACCATTTTAATCTGCCCTCCAAGATAGATGTATTTTCCTCTTCATAAAACAATCCCCAAGTAGGACAGAGACTGATTATCATATCTAGCAGACCAGAACATGAGGATTTTGGGCAGTGTCCCCCAGTTTAGAATTCAAGCTATGATTGAATGCAAATGACTTGCATTGAGGCAATACTAAACCCGAAGTTACCATACTCAATATCTCATTTTTTTTTCTTAAAAATACATTTCCAATTTATACTATTCTGTACAGGTAAAGAATATTTCTTTAGACTGGCAACTCAGCAAAACTAATTGAAACTGCAAGTGTGCTTATAATCTTACTTTACCATTCCTTTGTTTCACAGGCCTGCTTAAATCATAAAAGCAAAGACAGGGCATAAATTTATTTTTTATCACTAGTCGCAATTGTGAATGGTCACTAAATAAGGTAATCGTTAAATAAGAAATACCTGTATTAAGTTGCTTCTAATTGGCTGGAGTATTGTTGCATTAATCCCAATCAAATCCTAATTACAGCAGGTATTGGACTCTTACAAATTAGCCTACTTTTAAATTATGTCAATAGATTTATGTATTTATAATAATTTATCTACCTTAACTACTTATGACATTTTTATTATAAATTTTGATTTTATTTTTTCTTTAGTTTTTATATTTTTTAATTCTATGCTAATTATCTAATTGATACTATATTATACTATTTTGGGGGGGGGGTATGTTTTATGCTGGTCTATGATTGAAATAAAAACAGACAAACATATGTAGCTACCTTCTAGCCAGGTAGGAAGGAAAAAAGGCTTAATGTCAATCAATGTTTCAACTTACAAAATGTTAGAAGTCAAAATATTAAATACTTTTGAAAAATGATCAGAATCAGAATTTAGTAACTGCAATATAAACAGTGTCAATAATAATGTCTGCTTCTATGGATAAACTATGCCTAAAATATACAGAGAATGACAGAAATGGAACAAATTTTATCTGAAAGAGGTAATACAGAATGTAGAACAACAAATGATAGGCCAGGAGAATTATTTGGAAAAGAATCCTTTACCGGATATACAAAATAGATTTATTAAAAATTTCAAAATTTGTGGGAAAAAGAATTGGAGAGAAATAAAATTTTATTTTGACATTTGATTGAATTAAAAATTGTTAGAATATAAAACTGGTTTATTTGATCAAGATAAAAATACGTCAATGATTGCTGACACAAGATTGAAAAGTTGATCTCTATTTAACCTTATAGAGCAGTGATGTCACACCCGCAGCCCACAGCCCAGATGCATCACCTACTAGCCATGTCCATGCCTGGCTTAGGGAAGTGGGGGGAAGTCATATGTCACATGACAAGAATCTGACACCCCTGTTATAGAGGATGAAGTTATTTGTTTATACTTCTTGTAATGAGGATTCAAGTCACTTCTTATATATCCTTTTTATCACATTCTTTTTTCTTCATTCTAGAAAGAAAAAAGCTTTTTCTAAGTTTATGTTTGTATCGGTTTATGCTGTTTATATTATTGTAATTAAATTCTTAATAAAACTATCTTTGAAAAATGCTTATATATACATAAACTAATGCTTACAGATATATTTCAAAGTCGCTGTGAAAGCTTGGCAGGTAATATCTAAATTTGATAATAAACATAAAATTTAAAGTCACCTCAGACTAATTTTACAACCAATTGCTTAAGCAGATCAAACAAATTGCTAAACTTCTGCTTTATTATCACTGCAAGCTATTAACCTCACAAAGTTTAGTTAACAAAACTATTTACACGTTTAATAGCGTTAAGCTCAAAGGTGCACACAAAGCAGCCTGCCAGTCTCCTCTAATTATAGGAAACTAGAAGAGAACTGATCTCTTATCAGTATTAAAATGTCCAAATTAAGTCTTTAGGCATGAAGGCAAATTGATCCCACAATTTTACAATATCAATATTGAGTCATTTGAGTTCACTTATGACATTATCAATTTCAGTTCATTCTACTTCTGATGAAGCAAACTTCAGAATCTTTCAGTTGTGTGTTGTGTGTATTTAGAATCATAGTTATTAGTACAGCCTCTTCTGTAGGCATCTTATAAATAAGAGTAAATATGCAATATATATGAACTACCAGTCTGTGAATTGCCCTGTTAATTATTCTGTTCTGGCAAGGATTT